AAGTTCAAGGAGTGTAGCAGATTCTCTTGGCCACATGCTCATTAACATGCTAATCAAACACCTTCCTGAACAACAATCTCTGTCTTCCTTATTCCTCCTGGTGAAGAAGATAATTTGGGGTGAAGGGTCTGAGGAGTTTCCTGCATTTCCAATTCCATCTGCTGGTAATTCTTTTCCTTCCCTGGGAGTCCCAGAGAACCAAGTGCAAACTCCACTTCAGGCTGGTGTTATGGGTGGGCATGTGTTCTGAACAAAAGATTCACAACAGCCGCGTTTTGGTTTCAAAAAGGAAAGAAAACATTATTATTATTATTATAGAAACAGAAGAGGAAAGGAATCTACACTAGGCAATAAATGAGAATAAGGCAAAGTTACATCAAATCGGGTACTTAAAACATCCAACCTCATTAGCTGGGGAAGCCCCATGGAAACAGCCAGGCTGGAGTTCTGATTGGGAGCCCTGGGCAGAGCATCCTCCCTGCAGCTGAGACTTCCAACTGACCATCCCCGTAAAGACCATATTCATAGGGCAAATAACAGGGTTTGAAGTTAAACATTTGTTCGCCTACGTGCAGTTTGGAGCAAGCTGCATTTCTATGTTCTCGTGTTTCTGTATTTTCAAGGAGCCCGGGCTCTCTGTGTCTGCCACCCCTCCCGGATTCCATCTTGCGGGGCCAGCCCTGCTTGGAGCAGGAGGCGATGTGAGACAAGATTTGTAGCTCTTGGTGTGAGGAACAGAAGGGCCAGTTCTGACCTGGAGGCCAGATCATATATTTTAAGAAACCAGGTTCTCAAGGTTATTCACACAGCACGAGTCTCACAAATCACATTCTTAAGCCAGTGCCTGTATATGCAGGTCCAGGTGGTTGGTTATAATCACAGAAGCCTCTATCCACATAGAAAAGCGTGAGGGGCAGGGCTAAGAGAGGTGGGTGTGAGGATCAGTTCTCAGAGTCCCAGGGTCTGAGGCTGTGTGGGCGAAGAGTGGAATTACTGATGTTGCCGAGACTCCAGTAGACCTTATCTCTGGGGAGAGCCTGGGACTGAATCTGCTATGGGCCACAGACTCAGAGTGTCTCTGAATCTCTGTTCCTCCCTTAGTTTAGATGTAGAGACTTTAAGCAATAAGTTTCTAATGATAGATTGCAAAAATTGCCCTGAATTCATCTCATCCTCTTTCTGTTTGTACCCTTTTGCTTTTGTGATTTTGCAGCTTCTCCCATCAAGAAGTGGAATGTATTTCTGTATCGCTTGGATCTGGGCTTGGCCAAGTGACTTAACAAATGTAACCTAAGCAGAGGCTTCAAAAGAGCCCGGTGCTTTCCAACTTGCTCCCCTTTTGGTTGGTTCTCTCATAGCCCTGAAACAACCATGTGAAAGAGGCTAAGTTCGCCTGCTAGCAGGAGGAGGCCCTCCAGGCAACAGCCTGCCAGCCCCCAGACTTAGGGGTGAGGCTGCGCCAGATCACCTAGTACCAGCTGATTCTCCAGTTGCTGCAGACACAAGAGAAGGCACAACCGGGTTCAGCCACATACAACCCTGACCACAAGAACCTCCAGCTGACCTAGAGCATTGTGAGTATGCTGATTGATAGCAGCCTGAAGCAACAAAGTTTTGGGGCGGTTTGATGCAGAAATTGACACGCATTCAGTGGATGGCCTTGAATTAGTCTTCTACAACAGTGACAGCTCTGTCCATCCTTCAGGAGAAGCAAGTGTTGCTTCTGAAGTAAAATCCCAGATGTGTCCAGCTTCTTGTCCCCTGCCCCTTCAGCCCCCTAGTTTTTAAAATTCTGTATCCATCCCTTTCTTAATTGAGGAAACAGAAGTGCGTTTTAATGAGTGATCTCCGCTTCAGTGATGTTTTCACCTCCAAACTACAACATTCTTCACGCCCATCCGGGAAAGGTTCTCCCATCTGACCTCCTGTCCATAGTTCCCATGTAATCAAAGCCCCCCCAAGGCTCCCAGCTCCTAGAGGGGTTAGCCAATGACAGCCAGAGCTATAGGAACAGAAGAGGGGATAGAGGAAGGGGGAGGGGCAAGAATATATTAATAGTCTTTTAACCAAACGTTCATATACTGTGACTGCGGCAACCCACCCTGAGGAAAAACAGGAGAGCTGAAGACCGAATTACATACGATGATGTTCATTTGAACGTTACTTATAATTGCAAGAAGCAACCCAAATGTATATGTGAGTGATTATGAGATTGCTATAGTCATTTCAAGCCACATATTAAAATAATTTTTAATGCCATGGGGAAGAGTTCCCATTGAGAAAAACATGCAAGATGTAACATATATATGGGGAAGGTGATTTACCACCATAGTAGGAGTGTTTGTTCCTTAGAACTGGGAGTATAATTTACTATATTTTACAGTATTCCACAATAAATGTCTGTGAATTTAATCATTTGATATCTATATGCATTTCTGTATTTATTTATAGAAAGAGGACAAGAGAGAGGGAGGTGGTGGTGCTTGCTCTCTCTGAAAAGTTGAGCTCAGACCTGGAAGTGGGTGCAGGTGGTTACTAGAGTGGGACCCCAGAATGCAGGCGTGCTGGAACACGGACATGAGGCAGGGAAGGTGGAAAAGGCAGTGGCAGATGCATTCCTGGCTTGATTACCGCTGTGAGCACTTGGGTTCCATTTCACTGGATGTCCTTTGAGGCAACATGTAGAAGTCGTCCCAGAATTGTTCCTCTGCAGGTCATTTGGGTTGGAGACTTTATCCATCCACCCCATTCCCTCTTTGGTTGAAGTTTCCCTCCTGGGATGTGAACTGCCCCGCAATTCTTGTCTGCACAGCTGGCGATCGGAATGAGCTCACCCAGCTTCAGGAAAAGCAGCCATGAAAAGGCCGTTCTGAACCTAGAACACAGCATGCTCAAAAGCCCTTGGGCCAAAACAACCTTGGCCCTGTCTGGGACCAAAGAGAAGGCCATTATTTGTGGAAGGTCAGAGGCAGGAAAAGTAATTATTAATCCAGAAGGCAAGGCCTGTGAGGCCAGAATTTGCCTTCTAGGCCATGGTGAGGAGGTTGGGTTTTACCTCAGCACAGACTCTGGGTTGGTTGATCATTGTCATTCCTCCAGCTCCCTCAGCTGCTGTCCTCTCCTTCCTGCGGTGCTCGGTCTCCGGTCCTCTGGTGCAGCGCCACAGACCACACATACCTGACCTTGCAAGCAACTGCAGTGGGAGAGGTTGTCTAGAAGGTCTGAGGAAGGGGTACCGGGGGGCCCTCTTCTTTTCTGGCTAAATACCTACAGGATACCGCACACAGCCTCTGCCCACTGGTTCTGGCTAATGCAGTGCAAGTAGGAAGCCGTATGGTAGGTTTTCGGAAGCTACATAAAAATTAGCTGTTAGCTGCAGGCCCTTTGCTCTACTTCTATGTCCCTTTCTCCATCCTACAGCTTGGAATGTGGTCTTGCCCAGTGAGGAGTGGCCTCCTAATGTTGACAGGGCCTAGAATTGAGTACCCTGCTCAGAGAAAAGTCTATACCCTTAAACACTTAGATTGCTGAACAAGAAAGAATGATGATAAACATTCAACTAAAAAAATTTTTTTTCTTTAATTAACAAAAATAACCTTTGGAAACAATAAGGATAATAAAGATAAAATGAGAAACTGATGGGGTTCAGGCAAGTTAGAGAACAAAAAATACGTTTTGCTAGTCCTTACCAGGAAGAAATGCTACTATATTAAACAAAGCATTAGCTACTCTAATAAAGGTTTTTAAAAAAGAAAACAGGAAATAAAATGGAAACCTGAAAGAGCATGTACAGGAAATAATAGTTTTGAGAGTAATTTGAAGAATTATGTGCAAATACATTTGAAAACTTCGATAAACTGCTTTTTAAAAGAAATTGACCTGACTGACCCAAGAAGGGGAATGAAAATCTAAACAAACTCATACATACAAATGAAATTCAGAAAGTTACAGAATTCCAATTAAATACATGGAAACAAAACATGTAAAGAGTAGATGATTTTATGGCTACTTTTTTTTTTTTTAAAGGAACAGCAACTCACTGTGCCCTGGTAAATTAGATTAAGTTCCATTGACTAGAAAACCCAAAATGATAGTGGCTGAAGCAAGTTCATGTCTCTCCCATGTAGACAGTCCAGAAAATGTAGAAAATCCAGGAAATCCAGAGTCCAGGGCTGGTATGGCATCTCCCCAAATTTGCCAGCTCCCTTTTAGCCACACTTCCACCATCCCTAGGATCTCAAGCCCCAGGCATCATCACACCTGCATCATTTATGTTGTTTGTGGCTTGGCTGACTTCACTGTGATCTTGCCATTAGTCAACTCAGCCATGATAATTTAGGTTCGACATGGAATGTTTTCTTCAAAATAGACCCAGGTATAGCTAAGGTCTCTTTGATCATACAAGAATCATAACAAAGTCTGCCAACAATCATGCCAGTGGTAACCATTTGCTGAGATCTTTAGCTATTTCAAGATAGCTGGCTTAGCACAGTCTGGAACATATCAACTTCTTTTCCAGTACTGAGTCCCGCAAGAAAATTTGTTTTTATTCTGAATCTCCTTCCCATTTGAAACATATCACTGTAAGCCAATTTTAACTCTTCTTTCATACTTTACGTGTTATTGCCCAGGCAGAGCTCACTAGGTCTGGAAGGCATCTGCACTCACTGCATCATCCAGGGCTATGGCTCAGATGAATAATCAAATGTCAGTGGTTAGAAGAGTCACTATGTTGGTTCTCCTGCTCTTTCTTGCAGTTGGCAGAGACAATTGCAGCTTTGCCTCAGCCCCCACCCATGAGTTCCTATGGCATCAAACAAACTGGGAGAACTCAGACCTCCTGACCTCTGGGTCACCCTGCAGGTCACTCAAAGACTCTTGGAAATCAAAGCTCTGAATCCACTGAGGGGGGGATTTGGAAGACAATGCATGATCATTGCTATTATCTGGCTTTCCCCAGCTCAGGCTGACCATCTGTGGTATTTTTGCAGTTGTTCTATCCATTCATTCAAAGCAGAATTATTAAGTAGCCACTAAAAACCCAGCACTGTTCTGAGTACAAGAAGTGAAGAAAACAGACCAAATTTCTGCCCTCACAGGATTGACATTATATTTTCTCTGCTAGTTAAACCAAGAAGGAGATTTTACTTCTTTCCTTACTTGTCTGGGGGAGGCAAGAACAAAGGAGAATGTTGATAAACCCGGAAATAGGGCCGGATAGTATCAGAGAAGGACGCCTCTGGGAAGGTAAAGATGTGGGATCCAGTGGTCATGTTGTAAAAGGATACAACTCCGATATCACAGTCCAGAAAAATCCCCACAACCAGGGGCTGCTCCCTCAGATAAAGGGAAGTTACGGGAGAGGTAAGTGCTAAGTAGCCTTTCTTTTTGCATAGTCTAATGGCCCAGAATCCAGACTGAGGCTTCTGTATCAGATCAACGTCCCTCTGAACACTGTCCAGACAGACTCCTAAGTCCCACCCAGTTCCTTCTCCCACATCCACTTCAAAGTAATGTTTTCCTGAAGTGAAGCCTTCACAGCCCAGAATACAGGGTAAGATCCTAAATCTCCTAGAAGAGTTGTCCAGATTATCCTGGAGGCATCCACGAGTCACTTGTCTCCGATCCTCAGACAGAATTAGCTCACGATGAGCTGTATCTGGATCCAGAGTCACACTGACTGAAAAAAAAGTAAGTAAATAAATAGATAAGACACATTTTTTGTTGCCAAGAGCACAGTTTAATTTAAATAAAACCAGCCTGTGTTCAAACCCAAGCATCGTCTCTTACTAGCCGTGAGAGCTTAGGCAAGTCATTCTCCAAGACTCAGTTTTGTTACATATGAAGTAGAAATTATCATATCTGTCACAAAGAATAGTGGGAGCATTGAATGAGTTAATGTATGCTCAGTACTCAGTAAAATTCCTGGAATATGGTAAGTGCCCAATAAGTGGTAGTAATAATAATATCTTAGTCACTCACAGGAGCCAAGGACCAGAACTAACCAGAGTTAACATAGTTACTATCCTCTCCAAAGCCAATGGGAAGTACTAGAGGAGACCACAGGGCAAAAGGAAGCAGAGTTCAGAGTATTTTTAGTACCCCAAGTCCCTCCCCACCGCCTATCACTTGGAGGGTCTGTCTTCCCCTGCCTCTGGTCATACTCTCCTACAATTCCTCCACCTGTTACTGAGGTCCCAGGGAGGTGATGGGTCCCTACCTATTCCCAGCCCTGGCTGCTTCACTGCTCATCTTTGTAGATAATCCCTTTATTAAATGCTATCCAATCGGTTCTTATCATGAGCCTGACTCAGAAAGTTTGGGGTTCAATTTTTATTATCTTAATGATTCAGGAAAACCCAAGTTAAGAAATTAAAATGCTTACAGGCTGGCAATACCACTTGAAGGAGAAGATATCAGATTGGATTAAAAAAAAATTCTACCTCATATTGCTTATAAGTGACACATACAACAAAAAGACATAGAAAGGTTTAGAGGTAAAGGATGGATAATATATAGCTGTTACAGTTATATACTCATATCAAATGATATTAAGGCAAAGTATTACCGAGGACAAAAAGGGTTACCTAATAAAAAGAAATATATAATTCACTAGGAAGAGATCCTAATTCCAAACAAGCATGCACTGATACTATAGTCTCAAAATATACAAAGTAAAAATTACAGAATTACAAGAAGAAAATGAGAACTCTACAATCATCATGAGATATTTTAACATTCTTTTTTCCCCATAATTGATAGATCAAGCAGGCAAAAAAGGGAAGATATGGAAGATTTGAACAACCCAACAAGCCCAATCTAATAAATATATGTAAAGTTCAGCAACTAATAAATAGAGAATACACACTTTTTTCCAGTATAGATTGAATATGTACTAATTGAGTAGACTAGTCAGAAAGCAAGTCTGAACAAATTGCAATGAACCTATATTGCATAGACCATGTTCTCTCACCTCGATACAATTAGGTTAGAAACCAATTAAAAAGATCAATAAAAAAATCTTCTCAATATTAGGAAATGTCAGTGTTTCTAAATCATAATATGATGACATACAGACTTGAGCAATAATAAATGCTACATATAAAAAATTATACAATGAAGCCAAGGTGGAATTTTTGGGAAAATTTATAGCCCTTAAGTGCTTATTTTAGAAAGAGAAAAAAGCTGGAAATTAAGAAGCTAACTATCCAGCTTAAAATAGAAAAAGAACAGAGAATGGAGCTCTTGGGTGGCTCAGTTAGTTGAGCGTCCAACTCTTGGTTTAGGTTCAGGTCATGATCTCAGGGTCATGAGACAGAGCTCCACATGGGTCTCTGAGCTCAGTGGGGAGTCTGCGATGCTCTCACTCCCTCTCCCTCTGCCCCTCCCCCTGATCATGTGCTCTCTAAATAAATAAATAAATTATCTTAAAAAAAAAAAAACAGAGAAAGCCAAAGAGAATTTTTTTTTTTTTAAAAAAGGAAACTAAAGTTTAAATACTAAACCAATGAAATGAAAGAAAGTAAGACTGCAATGGAGAGGGAATAGCCAACAGTAGCTTTCATGAAAAGACTAATACAATAGACATACCCCAAAAAAATCTATCAATGGAGAAGAAAAAAAGTCAAAATTGGAATGAATATAGAAATTAAAAATTAGAATTTATGATAAACTTTATGTTGCTAATAAAGTTGAAAATATCAACAACATGAATAACTTTCTAGAAAAATAGTTCTTAGTAAAACTCATTCAGTGATTCATGGAACACTACATCAAAAACTAATGATGTACAGTATGGTGACTAACAACATAATAAAAAAATAATCTCTCTATATTATATATCAAACGTTTTAATATATATTATTAGATATATAATATTCTGTTTGTGTGTATAATTGTATGAAAAGACTGGGATGTTTTTATTACCAACTAGACAAAGAGTCAAGGAGCCAAGGTGAGGAGCCAACATACAATGTTGTCATCAACAGAGCTGATAGAGTATTAGTTATAGTAATGGGGAAGGAAGGTGTTTGCAGAGGCACGCTTACCAGGAAAACATATGACTCACTTTTATGTGAGGAGGTCTGATGTGTAAGCAGCCTCTCCCGACACACCCAGCAACTGTCTCCATCATCACTCTATCATAGTCATCATGCTATCAGAGTATAGGTATCAGCTAAACCTTCTTTACTTTCAAATGTCAGGATTCCTGTTTGCTCAATGGACTATTTGTTTAACTGCTCTATGCAACTAACCTTTATCTAGCAATGTAAGTACAGCATAATAATGATCTTATTGACAAATTAATATTCGGCTATCAAACCTATGTTACATATATTGTATATACATCAAAATTTAGCTTTTCCTGGACTGCAACTATGGTTTAACATTAGAAAATTATCATAATCACCACATTAACAGATTAGAGGAGAGAAACTGCATGATCCTATCAATTAATACAACTAACTCATGGATAAATTCAATGCCCATTGATGATGACGGAGCTCCTTGGAAACAAGAGTCATAGACTTTGAAGGAAAATGTGTCTTGAAACCCTATATATCAAAAGATAGAGTGAAAATGTAAAATGCCATACATTACCAGAGATATTAGCTATAATAAGCTCCCATGAGTCAATAAGAGAAAGAACCCAATAGAAAAATGCTTAAATCAGAGCAAATCATGGATAAATCACAGAAGACTAAAAGGCTAATGGACTTACAAGGGGCTCAACCTTGCTAGTAAAATCAAAGAGCACAAATTAAGTCCACAATTAGGTACCATTTCAGATCCATCAGATTGTCAAAAATTATAAATTATAAGCAAAGACTCAGGGAGATGCAGAATGGTGGGAGCTCTTATGTTGTCGGCAGGATATAAACTGATACAATTTCAAGATCTGCGGTATTTAGTCAAATTAAGATGTGCATTCCTTCACGGCAGCATTTTCAATTCAAGGTATAGCCTCAGAGGAAACGATCCACAGAACACAAGGACACATGGAAAAGTATTCACAGTAGCATGGTGTGCACCAGCAACAAACAAAACCAACTATACATAAACTTCAATGCCCGCTCCACAAAACAATGGATTCAAAACCACAACATATTCATTTTTTTGCCACACTGCAGAGTGATTAAGAGAGTGTGTTCTGAGAGATACAGAGTTACCACTTATTGGCTGCCTCTCTGTGTCTTAGTTTCCTCATCTATAAAGTGAAAAATGCTTCCTACAGAGAGGACTGTGGTATGAAACAGGTAACACGTGTGTAGCTTTTCTCATCTGTCATGAAGAGTGCTTGGCATATGTAAGTTGCTTTTCTTGGTGCTGGTGAGACTGTATGTTGCCACACGTAATATGCATTGAGATTAACAACAAGCCCAGCAGCCCCAGTGCGAGGTATGTGTCCTGCAGGTATGAAAACACAAGGATGGAAGTTTGCGTGGCCCAGGCAGTTATTTGCAGCAATGTTGTGATACCCAAGTGCTGGAAGCAGCCTAAAGCTCTAAAGGTAGGGATATGGTTATGTATAATTATAATGTACTTACGGACTATTAGCTTTAAAAAGCAACGAGTGACATTCTATATATTAAATGTTTGTAAAAAAAAAAAAAACAGAGAAAGACATAGATATTGTTACCTAGAGAAGTAGGATTGGAGAGGGGTGGGAGAAACCTTGAATTTTTCTTCATATCTATCTATATTGTTTGACTGATTATAATTTATTTGTATTACTTTTGAAAGAAGAAAAGTTTTAATAATATGATAAATATGATAAATGATCTAGTTAAAAGATGAGCCCATTTTAGAAAGAGATTGACTTGCACAATGTTGTAATCCTTCTGTAAAAGCCAAGAGTAGACAAATCTCAGTTAAATCTGGATGTGATTTGCATGGAGTCCTATTTTTTCCTTTCCTGAATCTTTATAGGATCAAATACAGAGTTGCTTTGTTTTGTAATTGTTCTTATTGTTGTTTGTTGTTGTTAACTTGAGGGAAAAACAAATACAGGTTCATAATCCTTATCTGAACCCCCTGAGGCCAAATGGGTTTGGATTCAGAATTTTTTGTCGTTGTTCTACTTCTGTGAAAAATGCAGTTGGTATTTTGATTAAGGATTGCATTAAATCTGTAAATTGTTTTGGGTAGTGTAAGACATTTTAACAATATTTGGTCTTCCAGTCCAGGAGCCTGGAATAGCTTTCCATTTGTTAGTATTGTCTTTAATTTCTTTCATCGGTGTTTTATAGTTTTCAGAGTACAGGTTTTTCACCTCCTTGGTTAAGTTTACTCCTAGGTATTTTATTACTTTTGGTGCAATTGTAAATGGGATTGTTTCCTTAATTTCTCTTTCTGCTGCTTCATTATTAGTGTAGAGAAACGCAACAGATTTCTGTATATTGATTTTGTATCCTGCACCTTTACTAAATTTAGTTCTAGTGGTTCTAGTAGTTTTTTGGTGGTGTCTTTGGGGTTTTATATAAGGTATCATGTCATCTACAAATAGTGAAAGTCTTACTTCTTCCTTATCAATTTGTATGCCTTTTATTTATTTCTCTTGTCTGATTGCTGTGGCGAGGACTTCCAGTACTGTGTTGAGTAACAGTGGTGAGAGTGCACATCCTTGTCTTGTTCCTGACCTTAGGGCTAAAGTTCTGTTTTTCACCATTGAGTAGTACGTTAGTGGTGGGTTTTTCATATATGGCCTTTATTATGTTGAGATATGTTCCCTCTAAACCTACTTTGTTGAGGGTTTTTATCATGAATTGATGTTATAATTTGTCAAATGCTTTTTCTGCATCTATTGAAATGATCATATGGTTTTTATCCTTTCTCTTGTTGTTGTGATGTATCACACTGTTGATTTGCCAATATTGAACCACCGTTGCATCCCAGGAATAAATCCCACTTGATCATGGCAAATGATTTTTTTTTTAAGGTATTGTTAGATTCTGTTTGGTCTTCCATAGTCCCTGCCTTCTGGTGTTCATGCTCTTATGCAATTCCTTCCAATTGAGTGTGGGCAGGACCTGGGAATTACCTCTGACCAACAGAATATGGCAAAAATGATGAGATGTGACTCCTAATATTATATTTCATTATATGGGACTCCATCTTTCTAAAAGACATGCTCTAGAGACACTCTCCTGAGCTCACTTTGAAGAAGTAATTGGCCATGTTGAGAAGCCCATGTGTAAGAGGTTGAGGGGTGCCTTCTAGAAGCTGAGGGCAGCCTCCAGCCAACAGCTCACAAAGAGCCAGGGCCCTATGCCCTATAATCATAAAGAAATGAATTCTGCCAACAACCTGAGTGAGCTTAGAAGAGAACCCTTCCCTAGTCTAGTCTCCAGACAAGAACCCAGCCTGGCCAACACCTTAATATGCAGCTTTGTGAGACCCTAAGCAAAGGACCAACTAAGCTGTGCCCAGATTTCTGACCCATAAAACTTATGAGATAATATGTGTGTATTATTTAAAGCTGCTAAATTTGTTTACTGGAAGAGATAATACAGTCACCAAATCATTTTAGGTTAGGTTTGATTTTGTAGCCAAACAAGTTTTAAAAAACTTTTCAGTCTTCAGAGCTTTTTAAATTTTGTAATTATAAATAACAGATTGCAGAAATATAGAAAGCACTGATTAAGAGAATCAATGAAGCAGGAAGTTCAGGCTTTGGAATTGGTAAAATTCAGTTTTCATTATGGTTCTAATATTTACCATCTGTTTTGTCTGGGTCAAGGTCCTGACACCATTTGAATCAAAGTCCATCATACTCACTGATCTTCCTTATATTGCTCTGAGAGTTGATTAAAATATTAACCACAAACACTATGTCCCAGACACTGCACTAAGCACTTTACACATGTTGACACACTTACTTTTCATGGCAACCCAATGAAATGGGAATTGTTCATATCTTCATTTTTCAGCTGCGGAAACTGAGGAAGTTATTTGCCTGGGGTGACACAGCTAATATATGGGGGATCAGGAATGTGAAGGGTCTGCACAGATAACCAGTATGCTATGTCCTTGTCTAGAGCATGCTAACAAGGGGGGGCAAGACAGCTCCACTGAAAATCACCAAATGACCTCTCCGGCTACGAGCCCGCCCAGGGACAGGTGGTGAACATGGTTTCGACTTGAGGTCCCTTCCATCCATAGCATTTAGGGATTCTTCACATACCTTGATAGCTCCTTAACATTTTCTTCACATCAAAATAAAGCTCAGAAACACTGCACACAGTATCAAGCTCCAAAGAGTGGGCCTCTGGTCTTTCCAATGTCACAGCCCAACTCCTGGAATAAGCAGAGGCCAAGGACTTCTTCAGTGATACATTCCATTCAACTTTATATACCCATACCCCTTCCCTCGTGCAGTCATATAGGACTTACCTGCGCAAAGTGTCTTTCACATCCTACAGAGAAACAAAGACAAAAAGTAAGTGGAGGCACGTGGGGCTGTTCTCTATAAATGCTCCTTCCAAAGAAGTTAAGAGAGTGACCCTAGCCTTAGATATTGATGGATACTCAGACAGAATGATTCCCATCCCAGCGCCCTGGGATAATCAGCATGGAAGGATGTTTATCAACCTCTGAGTCTGTTGTCTTTCTTGCCGAGATCTGTGGGAAGCTGTGGTGTCTGCAATCACAGCCTGTGGGACGCTTAGGGAAGAGGCCTAGGAGATTTGCCCATGCTTCATCTGCCAAGACTTGCTTTCAGTGACCTAATTCCTTTCAGAGTGAGCCCATACGAAAGACCACCTATCACTAGGTTCCTGAGTGGTGAATTCACACATAGCCTCTTAGAATGGCCCGCTAAGATGGTGGTATCAGGTATATCATGGTGGTGCGGCACTCATGCTATAGTCTCACACTTACAGTGTAACCTTGAGTCCTATTAGTGGGAACTAGAATTAATAGCTCCAGGCATGCTTTATCTTAATGGGCTGGATCTTTCATATAGCTGAAAGAAGGCCCCATAAGAGCTGTGGAGGGCTGTACAAGCAAATTAGGGGAAAGACTGTCACTCATGTTGGCTGCCCTACTTTATTACCCACCAGTCACCTGGTGGAGTATTTCAGGAGGCAGTTTCACAGTCAGGGTTCTGTGCACACGGAAAGAGGCAAGTGGTAGCAAAAGTTACTCCATGATTCCATTTAGCCAAGGACCCCACCATATCCACCAGAAGGGCTACATTTTTCAGATTCACATGAACAGATTTTTGTGATTCACTACAGACTAGTAAAGGCCACCCCATACTGAGGTATATCTAAAAGAAACATTTTTTTAAATTCCCCGTACCAATGTGCCACTTTTGAGTGAGGCAGGCGGGCCTCACCAAACTGCCCATGTTCCCTCACCCTTCTTCTTCTCTTAATAGCTCAAGAGTTCCTTCCCCCCGAGTGCACAGCCCCACCTGCAGCAACTTCTGGGCTGAGCCCTGACATTTCTCCTCTAGTTCCAGGATGTGACTCTTGAGTTCTTGGCTCTTCTGTTCCAGAGTGGCCTCATCATCTCTCAGTCTCTTTAGAGTCTGCTCTTTCTCTTTCTCCAGTCTCCACAGATGAGACTTCTCCTCTTCTTGTAGGAATCTCTGAAGATCCTTAAAGTCAGACTGGATTTTTTGTTTCTGAATGTCCATCTTCTCCTAGAGTCAAGAAAGTATGCTCAGAAGGTAGAAACAAGCCAAATGTCCATTGATGAATGAATTGATAAAATGTCATATATAGATAAAGGAATACTATTAAGACTTCAAACGCAATGAAATTCTGACATATGCTATGATGTGGATAAATCTTGGAGACATTATGCTAAGTGAAATAAGCCAGAAACAGAAGGACAAATATTATATGATTCCACTTATATGGGGGTATCTATGCTAGTCAAATTCATAGAGACAGAAAGCAGAATAGTGGTTACCAGAAGTTGAGAGGAGAAAGGAATAGGGAGTTAGTGTTTAATAGGTACAGAGTTCAGTTTGGGATGATGAAAAAGTTCCGGAGATTAGTTTCCACTATTAGCTCCCACTAATAGATGTGTGGTGATAGTTGTACAACAATGAGAAAGTACGTAATGCCAATGAACTGTACATTTACAAATGACTAAAATGGTAAATTTTATGTTATGTGTATTTTAACATCACAGAAAAAAGTTTTCTCAGTTACTGAGTCATCAGAGCTGGAAGAAAGTCATAAATTCCCTGCTGCAGAGTCATGCCTAGGAGGCAAGCACTCAGATGTGGGAGAGGACAGTTGTCATGATTCTCTACAGTCTGATTTATTTCCTTCTTCTTCAGCCAAGATGCAGGAGGAAGGAGGGGCAGTAGTGCCAGATAATTTAGTTGTGGAACTAAGGCTGAGGTCAAACACTTTCCCAGTTACAGAGAAAAAAGAAAACAAAACTGAGTTTTTATTGGGTCATAAGGAGGTATTTCTGAGCCTGAGGAAATTTCTTGAAGCAAAAGCTTGTAATAAACATCACTCAGACTGGACTCTAAGACAACCAGGCTAGTAGGGAAGTAAGAGCGTCCTTGGAGAGTTTAACATCCACAAACAAAGGATCAGGGCAGAGGATGGAAGAGACCCCTGAGAGAAGCAAAATGGTCCACCAGCCTGAGGGATTTGGCTACAAGTTGATGGATTACATAAATATTTCCAAAAGGGAATGCATCTCTGATCATGGGGAGCTAGTCAGCCAATGGGGATCATCTTAGAGACACTTAGTCTGCAGTTTATGTGTATAGGTTCTTGCAGTACTTATGACCCTCCTTATAAATCATATACCAGCCTCATGGGCTTGAGCAATATGAATCTCAACCTGGAGTGATTCTGTTTCCTTAATGTTCACAAAGATTGATTTCTGAACCTGTGAGGCTGAAAGCCACAGCCTGCACTGTGGTAAGCGTGCCAAATAATAAAGTTGAGGCCTTCAAACCAGGAAGGTACTTTGAGGGGTTTAAAATTTGAAACCTAGTCAAGGATGGCTCTAACTTAAATAGACATACCAATTCTGCTTCTACTAAGGCATCAGGAATCCTAGCCAATTACTACTGAAAAGTTGAAGGGATTGGAGATAAATTCTCACAGATGTAGACAACTAGGGGCATAAAAACAAACAATGGTTTCTTTTTGGGGTTTCATCTGGTTTCATTTGGTCTGGTTTAGTGAAAATAAATTATCATTGTGTTTTGCCAACCATCCTCTATGCCTACATTCTAGGATGGAAAAGAGCTTGAGATCAATAAACACAAATTCTTACATTCCATTCGCTTATTTGCTTTGTTGTGAACACCTTCAGTTTCATACATTCCTCTTCTAGTTGCCTCAAATTTGTCACAGCGTTCTGAAGCTTTTCCTGAAGGAAAAATTGGGTGAATAAAGTCTACTCAATTAGTAACTCTTCATTAGGCATGCAAGGGGAACCCCAGCCCTCCAAGACTATTAGAATAACACTGAATATACACTGAGTCATTTCTAGTAGTTTAGGAAGCACACTGAGGGCTGTATGTGCAATCACATATTTGATTCCCTTGGCAGCACTGAGCAATCGGTAGGATTTTTAACATCATTTCTGTGCAGCAGAAACTGAGGCTTAGGAAGGGGTTAAATGACTTGCCCAAGGTGCTATAACTGGTTCCCACTAATAGATGGTTCTGACTGGCTGAACCGAGCTGTGATTCCAACTTCATCTGCTACCCCAGGGCCTGAGCAGGGAATAAGGAGCCCCGCACTGGGGACATTTTTCTCGAATCTAGGCAGGAGAGAGAGAGTAAAGTGGCAGGACTGTGCCCTTTCTTCATTCCCTACAGCAATGGCCAGCCTTCCTTTACTGCTTCTGAGTGAGAAACAGGACTTGCCCCAAACCTCTCCCTCCACTTCATCCTCCATGAACAGTCATTTTCAAATCCTTTAGCTCCCCTTCCTGAATCTTGCGTGAAACTGCCCCTTTCCCCCTTCTTACAGGAATAAGCTGAATTTTACTCCTTGATACTCCTTTTACTTTCAAGGCCAGAATGCCCTTTTCAATGTCAACCTGATCCTTCAATCTGCAAATAAAACCCCCCCCAGTGGCCAGTACTACTCTGGGCTAGGATTTCGACTCTGAGTTGATACCACAGTTCTGGGCCAACCTCCCTTCCCAGGCCATCACCTGCTTTTCCCTACATCCCCCGCCCTGGCTATGCCCTTGCACATATGGTCTCCTCTGTCTGGAATGCCCCCTCTTTTCTCCATGCCTGTATCTATGGTTAACTGTGACATGTTCTTCAGGAGTCACTTCTGAGAAGACTCCTCAGATACCACTCCCCACCCCTTGGTGTCCCTCCTCACCACCCCAACCAGTTGATTCCAGGCAGTCTCTTTTGCTGATTTGTCTTCCCCACTAGACTACAGGATACCGAAAAGGTGGTATATCTTTGTCTCCTGTGTTTTCAGAGTGTATCATATGGTCTTGCACATTATGGTTTCTAAAATTATATACATGGTGCGAAGCAATAAAACATGCAGGTCTGGGTTTGAGCACACTGCATTCTGGAGCAGGGAGATGTTCATCATAGCAAGAATGGAGAGGAACAAGAGTGTGACCATCCTGTTGAAGGTCAGGATGGACAGTCGGGACTTGACTCAATGAGGACCCATAATAAACTATTTCTCGTATCATGAAAGACATGACATGAAGGGTGACATGATGACAGACAAGGATTTCAGGATCCTTTTCTCAGGTTATAGGCTAAATAACCTCAGTCCCCAAGGAGCAGCATGGGAGCGGTACTCGCCAAAGCCCTCCAACCCATACGCTCACCTTGTAGTCTTGGCATACGTCCTCGATGAGAGCCGTGTGGTGCCCTTTGTGCTGTGGTGACCGCTCACAGCGCCAGCAGATGAGCTGGCTCTCGTCTTCGCAGAATAGGTGGAGGTGCTCTCCATGTTCCTCACACGACATCTCATGCTCCATCTCCTTGATGACTTCAATGAGACTTCCCAGCTGCTTGTTGGGCCGGAGGCTGGTCAAATGAAATGGAGCCCGGCAGTGGGGACAGGCGACCATATTTACCGATGTTTCCTGTTTCTCAAGGAAGCTGACGATGCACAGTTTGCAGTAGCTGTGTCCACAGCTGATGCTCATAGGCTCAGACATTAGGGACAGGCAGATGGCACACGTGGCTTCCTCCTTCATCTTGCTGGCTGAGGCCATGGCTTTTCCTGACAAGTTCCACTATGGGAGCTAGAGGCAGAGATGAAAATCCAAATGTATGGGAATACACCTCACCTGAGCCTCCATGCCACGCACTGCACCGGCTGCCACTGAAATGGATTGGGATTTAGATGGCACATAAAATGAGGCTGTTGTGGAAAATGGTGGTGATGATCACATGTGGCCACTTATATTTAAATTAATTAAAATAAAATAAAATTCTGTTTCTCAATCCCACTAGCCATATTTCAGTTGCTTAATAGCTGCAGTCACTGGTGGCTACATGATCACCCATATGTAACACTCCCTGGTTGCAGAAAGTTTTCTCAGACCAAGCACTGACAGCGATAGAGAACAAGGAAGGCTTCCTCACCAAAGTTGTAGCAAGAGAGAACTCAGTAAGGGAGCGTGAAACTCTTTCCTACTCTAATAAACATCAAGAATCCTTAGTACCAGAACTGTTTCTTCATGGCTGCTGGTAACCCTGAAGTAATTGGGTGGCCGCTGAAGGATTCCCCTGAGATCATCCCATTTCCCTCTACTGGAACCCCACTGCCGGCTCGCTCTGCCCCCACTCCCACCGCACAGGGAACAAAGGACACCAGGTTAATAAAGTCTCAACGGAGCCCCAACCGGGATGATAACGAAAGTAAACAAGGCAACCAGAAGAACCAATGCGTCTTTGCCATCGTTCTCTCAGACCTGAGAGAAAGATCTGGAAAGAGCTGGGAAAAGAAGGGTTGTCCCCGGGAACAGAGCTCCCGCAGAGTGAGGGAGGGGACCGGCTCTCCTCCAGGCCACGGCGTGGCTCTCGGGGTAACGGGAGCACTGGGGGTTTGCAGAAGCCAGGAGTGGGCGGAAGCAGAGGAGGCAGGCCGCGCCTGGGAGGGGGGCGTCCCCCGGGCGGCGCCTCCGTGGCCTCCAGCCGCCAGAGGACCCGACGACCCGTGACAGGGAGGGAGGCCTGACCAGCGGCACCCACTGCGGCCGGCAGCTGCTTGGGGAACCTCGCCCTGTCCCCCACTCCCCACCCCTGCGCCTTGGCGGGCAGGGGCGCGGAGGTGCGAGAAGCAGTTCAGAGAGCGACCTCCCCTTTGCCCTGTTGACAGTGCCAGACATCAAAGCAGGGCTTCGGCTCAAGTTGCGAGATGGGCTACTAGCATCCGATCATGTCTCTCGCAGTCACCTCGCAGTCACCGAGGATTTCCTCTGGAGACCTCTCTTCCCCGGCAGGTGCCTTCTCGGCGGGCACACACCGGCCTCCCCCGCGCCGGGCCGCGGCGGGGACTCCGCGGGCAGACGAAGCCCAACAGCAGCCCCGACGGGCGGCAGGGTTCCGGCGGCGAGGGCTCCGCACACAGAACCCCCTCACACAGGCGTGCATCTCACCCCCTCATCAGCCGCCCCCACCGCCCACCGCCCACCGCCACACACTTGCCACCGCCTCCGAGGCCCCGCCGAGCGGGTCGCCGACCTCAAACTCAGAAGCGAAACTGCTGTGAGAGGCGGGCCTCGAGGGCCCGGAAGGAGGTCTGAGGAGGCGCCAGTCAGGTCCCGGGGAGGAGGCGCGCGCGAGGGCCCGGGGGGGAGGCGCTGGTCAGGTCCCGGGGAGGAGGCGCCCCTCAGGTTGGGGAGGGGGCGCCCGTCAGGTCCCGGGGAGGAGGCGCCCCTCAGGTTGGGGAGGAGGCGCCTGTCAGGTCCGGTGGAATGAGGCGCCTGTCAGGTCCCGTGGAGGAGGCGCCGGTCAGGTCCCGGGGAGGAGGTGCCTGTCAGGTCCCGGGGAGGAGGCGTCCGTCGGGTCCCGGGGAGGAGGCGCCCGTCGGGTCCCGTGGAATGAGGCGCCTGTCGGGTCCCGTGGAGGAGGCGCCGGTCAGATTGGGGAGGAGGCGCCCTTCAGGTTGGGGAGGAGGCGCGCACGAGGGCCCGGGGTGCAGGCGCCCGCCAAGTCAGAAGCGTGGGTCAGGTCCCGGGGAGGAGGCGCCCGTCAGGTCCCGTGGAATGAGGCGCCTGTCAGGTCCCGTGGAGGAGGCGCCCGTCAGGCCCGGTGGGGAGGCGCTGGTCAGGTCCCGGGGAGGAGGCGCCCCTCAGGTTCGGGCGAATGAGGCGCCTGTCAGGTCCGGTGGAATGAGGCGCCTGTCAGGTCCGGTGGAGGAGGCGCCGGTCAGGTCCCGGGGAGGAGGTGCCCGCCAGGTTGGGGAGGAGGCGCCCGTCAGGTCCCGTGGACGAGGCGCCCGTCAGGTCTTGGGGAGGAGCCTCAGGTCAGGTCCCGGGGAGGAGGCGCCCGTTAGGTCCCGGGGCGGAGGCGCGCGCGAGGGCCCGGGGGGGAAGCGCTGGTCAGGTCCCGGGGAGGAGGCGCCCCTCAGGTTGGGGCGGAGGTGCCCCTCAGGTTGGGGAGGAGGCGCCCGTCAGGTCCCGTGGAGGAGGCGCCCGTCAGGCCCGGTGGGGAGGCGCTGGTCAGGTCCCGGGGAGGAGGCGCCCCTCAGGTTCGGGCGGAGGCGCCCGTCAGGTCCCGTGGAGGAGGCGCCGGTCAGGTCCCGGGGAGGAGGTGCCTGTCAGGTTGGGGAGGGGGCGCCCGCCAGGTTGGGGAGGAGGCGCCTGTCAGGTCCCGGGGAGGAGGCGCCCTTCAGGTTGGGGAGGAGGCGCGCGGGAGAGCCCGGGGAGGAGGCGCCCGCCAAGTCAGAAGCGTGGGTCAGGTCCCGGTCATGTCAGGAGCGTGGGTCAGGTCCCAGGGAGGAGGCGCCCGCCAGGCCCTGGGGAGGAGTCGCCAGCTTCGTGCTCAGCACCCCTGAGGGAAGGGAAGAGGGTGGATGAAATACCGGCCTTTGACAGCAATAAAGAGATGGGAGAAATGAATAACCCCGTCAACCATTTGTGACCTTAGCACAGAGGATCTCAAATCAGAAAACCCGCAGAGATTCAAGATTTTTCTACTTTTGCCACTAACCCCCTTTGGGATCCGTAGCCTTCGGTGCTGATGTTTGTGTTGTGCTGTTTTTAGGTCGCGTGCACTTCTCTTCCTGCTGAAGGGCGTGGGGAGAAGGGGTGGCAGGAGCAGAGTTGTGGGTGTCCCCAAGTCTGCCCACGCCAGCCCCACTTCTCTGTCCCCCGCTGTGTCTCCTTTCCCCCCTCGGTGGCCCCCGGAGGATTCAAATACGTCACTTCTCCACGGCCAGAGGCAGCGGCCTAGGACTGCAGACCGGAACCCGCGATGGCCCAGCCGAGAGTGGCCTCAGCTGGGGCCGTCATGGCGCCTGCACAATGGAGGACAGGCTATGGGGCTGTCCTCGCCCAGCCAAGGTCCTGCCGGTCCCAAACTGTGGGACACGTTCCTCTCTTCTCTTCCCAGACAGGGGTCTCTCTTAAGCACTGTGCTCCCTGGGCCGCTCACAGAGACTTCGGCTATTTTGCCACCCAGTGGCTCATCGTGCCCTGCTGGCACGTCGGTGGTGGCAGGCCCCGCGCCCAGCGCAGGACATAGCTGCTCCTGAGGCAACCAGCACACAGACAGAAGACAAAGAATGAGGCCCTGAATCCCTGATCCGAAGACGCATGCTTGCAGATCCCCATGACTTTCACTGTCATGGATGTGACTCTGGACCCAGGCAGAGCTCATCCCAAACTTGTCCTGCCAAAGGATCAGGAAAAGGAAGCCAATGAACAGCAAAAAGAAAACTGCCGCTACTACAAATAACAGCAAGAGAAAAGCTACAGCCTCATGACAGAGTCTGTCTTGACAGCTTGCCCCACCTTGCTCCTCTTTCCTGTTGCATGAAGGAGGGACTAGTCAGGCAGAGAGCTGCAGGGTTAGAAGAGAAGCGGAATGCAGATGAGCCTTCAGAGATATGCCCCCCAAATATGGGCCGAGACAGAGACCCATAGGAGCTGCCCCATGGGGAAATGCATCTCCTCCAATAAGTGAGGCTAAACTCAACCCTGTGAGTCTGGGTCACTGTAGTCTCCTTTAAGAGGCATGCATTCTGAGTGTGGCCTCTTTGGGGAATGGTTGTCCTTCACGGAACCCCAGGGTGCCTTCCCTCAACTTCAGGTATCCCTTCTCAACGAGGCTTCCTCTGACCACTTATTTATAAATGTACCCCTCACCATTTCTGATCCCTCTTACAGTGCTCTATTTTAAGCAACTGACTCTTGGTTTTGGGTTAGGTCCTGATCTCAGGGTTGTGAGTTTGAGCCCCACATCAGGCTCCACCCTCGGTGACGAGTCTGCCTAAGATTCTCTCTTCCTCTCCCTGCCCCTCCTGCTTGTGCTTTCTCCTCTCTCTCTCTGTCTCTCTCAAATAAATAAATAAATCTTTAAAAAAGAGTAAATGCCTTTAAGTTTATTAACTTGTATTATGGCCCAGAATGTGGTCTATCATGAATAAAACCATGTGTCCTTGAAAAGAAAGTGGGTGCAGATATTCAGTATAATGTTTTATAAGTATCAATTCATTCCAGTGAGTGATAGGGTTTTTCAGATCTCCTATGTCTTTACTGATATTTTATCTAGTTATTCCATCATTATTGAAAGAAGGGCATTAAAATCTCCAACTGTGATTGTAGAATTGTTTATTTTCCTTTTAATCATTTCCATTTTTTACTCCATGTATCCTGGAGCTCTGTTGTTAAGCTCATACACATTTATGATTGTTGTATCATCCTGAAGAACTGACCCTTTTACTAATACAAAATATCACTCTATCTCCGGAAATACTCTCTGTCTTCAACTCTATCTGTTATTAATATAGACACTCCAGTCTTTTTATGCTTACTGTTTATATAGTACATTTTTTCTATGCATTTATTTTAAACTTACCTGTTTTTTTATATCTCAGATGTTTCTCTTCTAGCAAACATGTTTAGTTCTTCCATTTTTTAATGGATTCTCGCAATCTTTGCTTTTTAATTAGAGTATTTAGACCATTAACATTTAACATTAACCTTTACTTTTCTTCCCATGCTACCCTGGCTGGCATTTCCCAGACAATATTGAACATAAGTTGTGAGAATTGGCATCCTAGTTTCATTCTTAATCTAGGGGGAAGGGCAGAGGTGGAAAAAGCTTTTAATAATTTAACATTAAATATATTGTTTCTTGATATACTGTTATGGCATTTTAAATTATCATTACAAAAAAATAAAATTATTGCATTTTGCATGAATTATTAGGAGAAAACATTTTCCAGGAAAATACCACAGCAACATCTCTTAATTTTGTTTCCATCTTTCTTTCACATTTTATATAAACTACATAAGAGGCACATTATTGAAACTACATGTAATTAACATGGCACCTTGGTGACCTCTTCGCTTACATGTTGATCAATAGATGGCACTCTTGCATTTTTGGTGTCTTATGTCCATATGGTTTTTGCCTTTAAGAAAGCATAACTACTTCTTTGATCAATATTAAAAACAATTGTAAATTTAATCTGTTCTTATAGATGACTTCAAATGGCTAACAATAGCATTTACATCCAGTCATTTTTAAATGTTTTTATTCACACAATAAGCATTTATTGAATAGCTTTTCTATGGCAGACACTAGGCTGGACCCTGGGGACATACCAATTATATTAGAGATAATTTGTTTCCTATAAAAGTTTCCGGAAAGCTAAAACATGTAACAAAAAAATTTATATCCTACATGCTATAACAAACTGGGGGAAAAAATAAAGAAGCATGCAAGTCCTGGCAGAATCTGGACACTTCTGCAGAGTTGATAACCTCTGAGTTACATTCTGAAGGAGAAGTGAAAGTTCACCAGGGGAAGAAGGGGTCCAGGAATTCAGAAAGACTCTATATGACAAGGTCAAGAGTCATTAAAAGTATTCCATGTTATGTGAATACAGTGAAGTTCCAGAACCAAGAGCATGGAGTCCGTGAGGAGGATTGGTTTCAAATAAATCTGGGACCAACGTAGTGAGGCAACTAGCAGAACTCATATCTCCTTCCTCCCCCCTCCCTGCACATTTCCTTTATAGGATGTTTACATGGAAGGAAAATTCATAACCACCACTGAGCTGGGATGCTGGGGGAAGGTGAAGAATGAATCTGCTTGGTTTGCTCAGCCCAAGCTAGGATCTCCCCCTTCCCCACCAAATCCTCTCCTTTTGACGGGGCCCAGAGAGCCGAAGTTCAGGTCCCAGGGACCTGTTACCTACATACAGAACCTGCCCTGAGGTGGATTCTACCCCGAGATGGACTAAAACCCACCCCTGACTCTTAGTACAGCTAAATTCAATCTCAGACCAGTCTCCCTTTACAAGAGTCTCTTACCCCTAAGACTCCTCACGATCCTCGACACCATGCAGGGTCATGGGGGTGCTGCCACGTCCATAGCTCTTTGCCTGATACAGCAGTGCAGGGATGAGAAGGCCATCAGCCCTTGGATCAGACCCTTTTCTCTGGCTCCTAAGACCTTCCACCTGTTTTGAACATTGCTGCCAAGACATTTTTGGACCTCAAGGGCACTTTGCAGGGGGGTTTAAAAGT